TCTTTTTTCTTCATGCTGTCTCTTTGATTCTGTAAACAACATTGCCCTCTACAGGTAAGTACTAAGTTTACTGTAAATGTATGGTCACAAAACACTTTCATGACTTAGGGTTGGACACGATAATCATTTGTGTGGGCTACAGAGAACAAAAAACTTTGTTTATATTCTCTAGATTTTATGTCAGTTTAGTATAAGTTTTCAGCAGTATTTAGTGTAAGCTATTGGTGAAATGGGTGACTTTTAAGACTTACAAAAATTATGAATAATGGAAGCATGTTTAGCAGCAGCATCTGTGAGCATAGCACAATTTTTCAGTGTTTTAAGAAGAACAGTTAACAAGAGTGGACGAAAACCAAAAGTGAAGGATGGGGAAAGAAGGATTGTGTCCAAACAACACAGAACTACAAAGTGAAAGCAAACCTCAAAAGTAACTTCAAAGTTTCACAATTTCAACAAAAACTGGCCACAGAGAACTTCACAAAGCCAAAATCCATGAACAAGCTACAATTACTACAATTTTAAATGACTCATGGACACCAGTGGTAAAATGCAAAAAAACAAAAATTGTCATAAAACTTGGACAGGTGGAGCACCAAGATGAACTACAACATCTGCCCTGGCCAATGACCTGACTGAATATTATCCAAGTTTTAAAGAGAATGAGAAGCAGATTCCCTTCTTCAATATCACCGAAGCAAATGGCAGATGTTCTGCTAGACAACATTCCACTGGAGACTAGTCAAAAGTTGTACAAAATCTACTCTAAGAATGTTGTAAGCTGTATTAAAGGCAAATGATGGTAAAGCTCTTTAATAATTAAATATTTCCTATTTCCTAGGTTTGACACACTTATGAAATATGAGCATTGAGAAGTGCCAGTGATCTTACCACTACTGACACGGATACAGTTGTTGTACTGAATATTGTGGAAGCACACATATCCAAACATGTCTGCTAAACTATGGGTCCTGTATTCTTTTGGGATTAAGAGCAGGAACATGATAGATAAGAGCTTACATTATGGGTTCAGGACACTGACCAAGGTGGTTTATACCTGAAGAGAGCTACCCATTAGTGTGCCTATTCTTCTCAATGGCAATTGCTTGACTTTTGTATAAAATCTTGGACATATGCAACATGCAAGCTGCCATCTTAGCAACTTGCAAAACAGACAACGGGGTAACACTTTCAAAAATAATCTGTCACCAGTAAAACATCTGTAGTGTGTTGCTTGTGGGGGAAATAGTCAGAATACCAAAGCCAAGCAGAGCCACAGACTCCACAAAACAAGCTTAGGTGTTTCATTATGGGGACAGTTTTCTGTTCCATAAAGGCTCAGAAAAAATCCACACAGCTTGAGCCAGGCAATTAAAATCTTCAAAGAACTCCGAAGGTTCTTTATTCATGCTGAGGACTCATCTTCGTAAGACAAGTTTTTGATCAAACAATAAACCCTTAGAGAATGAAAGGTTGGTTATGAATCTTAAGGATGTACAGATGTAAAGCTACTTAATTAATTGACATATTATTGCTGTTTGTCTCATTCCTCGATATTTTATGCTGTATAAATTGTATATTTTTAATCATTTTGTTTTAACTTGTAGATATTTTGTTATTTTTCATTCTTTGTTTGAACGTTGAAAGCAGTTGTTCAGTCTATTGAAACTAATAAAGAGAATAAAAAATGTAAGCATGCAAATGAAAAATGAAAGGTCTTGAAGCATTAGAAGGAGTGTTGTCATAAAGGTGAATGGTCAAATACATTAAGCTCATGGAACGGAAGTGATCCATTTTCTTTCCACCAGTGACGCCACGATTACATTACATTTAGATTGATTCACTTCTAAATGTTCCCTTTTTGAACAGTCCTCCTCTAAATGATCCATAGATGCAAAGATTATAAATGGTACAATTTAGGATACAATTCAGGGCTGTATTTATGGAATCGTTTTGAGAGAAATTAGCTAAAACAATGGTGATAACAATCTGAAAAGATCTAGGATTCATTATGTAAATGCAGTGCCATCATGATGTGCAACTGTAGCAGCACACTCAATCAGGAGTGAATATATGTTCTGTCTGTCTAGAGGAATGAGTGAGTTCATGCTAATGGAGGGTTTTGTGGGAACACACTGAATTTAGCAACACCAATCTTCCCCTTTCTCTGTCTGTGAAGCTGTCTGTCTGTTTCTGTTTCTCTCCCACTCTCAAAATAAAAACATATAAATCTTTTTTTGGTAAAATCAGAGACTCTGATCATGTACATACTTTGCATGTACATGATGTGATGGTGAGGTCACTTTTATTCGGCTTATGTCTTTCAATTGATACTCCTTGTTTCCATAGAAACCTTTCTTCCCCTTTCCCCTCATCTGTTTGACACTATCTCTGCCCCTCTTCTTCCTTTGAAGGAAACTCTGCCTTACACAACAATCCGTAACACCAAGTGTTTCTACCATTGGTTTTGGTGTGATGATGACAGAATAGGAACAAATTAGTGATTTTTTGACTCAACTTCAAATGTATCTATCTATCTATCTATCTATCTATCTATCTATCTATCTATCTATCTATCTATCTAAAATTAGTGATTTTTTGACTCAACTTCAAATGTATCTATCTATCTATCTATCTATCAAAATAATCAATAAATGAAAATGAATAAACAATTATATTATTCAGTGGTTCAGCAACAATCTCCAAGTAAACTTTCTGAATCTGATCGTAGCTGAAGACTATTATTTGAATAAATAAATCTATCTATCTATCTATCTATCTATCTATCTATCTATCAAAATAATCAATAAATCAATAAATGAAAATGAATAAACAATTATATTATTCAGTGGTTCAGCAACAATCTCCAAGTAAACTTTCTGAATCTGATCGTAGCTGAAGACTATTATTTGAATAAATAAATTCAACTTATTGACAGATGAAATTTTCACATAAAAATATTATGATTCATTTTTGCACTAGGAAATAATCGCAGTTCTATCTCATACCCATAGCAATTCACTCAGTTATCAGATCTTTAGTGAAAATCCCACTGTACGTAAAGCCTTTATTACATAACTGGTTGGCTCTCTTATAGTAGATGACAAAGCAATACAGATATATTTGAGTGTATCTGTCTCAACATTGTTTCTATTTATAGCTTTGATCTGCTTGGAAGTGAAAGCTAAAAATGTAGTGGTCCAAAAAATACACACTATTGTGAAACAAAGGAAAGAGAACAGTACTGACATCAATATGCTTTTTTTTTGGTCACAAAATTTTTGAATATGAGTGCACATGAATATGCCCATGCTGTATTAAAGTTAAAGAAGGTGTTACATCATAATATATATGATGTATATAATATATAACATTTTCAAAATGTCTCATAGTATGCTATCTGAATATCAACATTTGTGAGATTTAGTTCTGTGATTAATTGATTTAATTATATTTACAATATGATATTTTAAAAATGTATTATGACACTTTAACAAAAAAATTTATATTGATTTTGTATTGTTCACTGTTCATTGGCATTTGAGAAAATAAAACTCTTTACTTCATCAGCATTTAGCTACAAAATATTTAGTTTAATAACTTTCATTAATAACATAATAACACTGGAAAACATTACTTGCTTACCAGTTCATTTAGATTATTTTTTATACAAGTTTTTTTTTTCATATATACTCATATATAAATGTACATGAACTACTGGCCTCTCAAGCATTATAGGTGTGTTTATTAGGTTTGTTAGTGATTTATTAATGCAAAAGCATCAATAACCTTAATCATGCTTTGACACACAAGTATGTTCTAAATATCTACTCAAGACAACGTCAGAAACAGGAATTTCCCCTGCAGGATATATAAATCGTGAACATGACGGGGCTTTGTTACTGCTGGAGTCTGGTGACTTTGCGCATTTTCTTTTTGATTGCTGTTGTTATAATGAACTTCCAGGGTAAGTTTTATTTTTTATTTACATTAAATTCTTATTATATGAAAAAAAACATGATTCTGGAGAATTTTGCTTCATATACTATTTTCAATAATATTTTAACTTATGTTATACTATGTACACTATTTTCAATTTTGATGATAGAAGGCTAAGATGATAAATGTATTATGTGAGATTTAGTTCTGTGATTAATTGATTTAATTATATAAATTAATTGATTTAATTATATTTACAATATGTTATTTACAATATGATATTTTAAAAATGTATTATGACACTTTAACAAAAAATTTTATATTGATTTTGTATTGTTCACTGTTCATTGGCATTTGAGAAAATAAAACTCTTTACTTCATCAGCATTTAGCTACAAAATATTTAGTTTAATAACTTTCATTAATAACATAATAACACTGGAAAACATTACTTGCTTACCAGTTCATTTAGATTATTTTTTATACAAGTTTTTTTTTTCATATATACTCATATATAAATGTACATGAACTACTGGCCTCTCAAGCATTATAGGTGTGTTTATTAGGTTTGTTAGTGATTTATTAATGCAAAAGCATCAATAACCTTAATCATGCTTTGACACACAAGTATGTTCTAAATATCTACTCAAGACAACGTCAGAAACAGGAATTTCCCCTGCAGGATATATAAATCGTGAACATGACGGGGCTTTGTTACTGCTGGAGTCTGGTGACTTTGCGCATTTTCTTTTTGATTGCTGTTGTTATAATGAACTTCCAGGGTAAGTTTTATTTTTTATTTACATTAAATTCTTATTATATGAAAAAAAACATGATTCTGGAGAATTTTGCTTCATATACTATTTTCAATAATATTTTAACTTATGTTATACTATGTACACTATTTTCAATTTTGATGATAGAAGGCTAAGATGATAAATGTATTATTTAAAGTTATTTCAAAAATAAATATGTATGTACAGTAAATAAGTATGAAGAAGCCTTAAGTAACTTTTACAGTCAATTGGAATCAGGTGCATTTATGTGAAATCAGGATGTCCAGCCATGGCTGAAGCATGTGAGTGCGTGATCCATGTGTGTGAGATCTGCGTCACAGTGTTATGCACTTCTAATCGCTTCTGTCTCTCACTCTCTCTCCTCCAGCGGCTCTATTAGTCACACTTGTGGGAATTGTGGCATCTGCCCCAATCTCTGACAAACTGGGCATTATGAACAAGGATACTATTGTACAGGCTCACGTTTTAATCAACAAAATTCTAAAAGATATTCCTACAACTCATGCAGCCTGGATAAACAACAAGGTAAGCACATTTATTTCAGGACTGTAACCACCATAGACACTGAGGGACATACTGTCCCCAGTATTCAGAAGAGCAGTCAATCAATATGCTGTTTTCAGTGAATGATTCTTAAAAACGTACATTTGGTCCATCTAATCTTCAATCTTGTTTACATGTTTGCCACCGTTTCACCCCGGATCAACAAACTTAACTGCAAAAGTTAATACAAAGTTTTCTTTAACTTCACATTCATAGCTCTCTGTGTATATAGATTTACAAGAGGGCCAAGTCGTTTGGACACTTCAGTCACATTTGGGAATGTTATTGCATTAGATACAAAATATCAAATTAAGTGGCATCTCACCAATCAAATGATTCTAAAACTTTTCTCAGAATAACTTTGAAATTATTTTTAACTTGTGTGAAGGTGTTTTATTGAATGTATGAAGTTTCTGATACAAGTTCACACAGGTGTCCTAGCAGAGCAACCATCAGTTTAGTTCACATAACATGTGGACACACAGTGTTTGACAATCACAAAGTGTCCAAATACTTTTGAGGGCCACTGATCGCAAATTTTCTTTGCTCTGGCATGTATGTGAGGAGTATGTACTGACACAAGAACAAGAAACTCTGTCCTGTCGTGTTTAAACAATTCAAATGCTCGTCTTTTCTTTCAGAGTCTGACTCTGGGCGACAGCACGACTAAACTGCAGCTGGAGTTCTTGAGGAAATCTATGATACCCTCTGCCCCAGTTCTTCAGAACATTTCCAGTATCTCCAGCATGGTACGTTTTATTCTTTTTTTGGCATTTGCTTGACTGTTAATTTTTTTTAAATCATACTTGGCTAAGGCAAGGGATATATACAAAACCTAAACCTATGCAGTACTGTAAACCCACACTATTTGAGTTTAGTTATATACTATTCCGTTTATAAGAAATCAGATTCACAACAGCAAGATTTAAAAAAATAAAAAATAAAAAATCAGCTTGACTGTTGAGAGATGGGCCAATAAGAACAAACAACACTTTTCTTTCTTGTTGTATTATGATAGCTGGAGAAGAATTATTACATTTTGGTCTTTATAATGGAACACAATTACACAAGGAACACAATAAAAAGACAAATATAACAGGATTGTTCAGCAAATAAACTGTGAGATCTCTCTGTTACTGTCACAGGAAACCTGCCTTGCACACATAGTGAAGGGACTGCAACTACATCTGAATCTCTTGAATGAGATCAGCAAAGAACTGGCCCAGACAGACCAAGTGAATGAACTTAAAGCTGAAATTCAAGAACTTTGTTCCCTAATCAAAAAGGTATGGTATTGGGGGACTGTTCTTTTGTGAATGGGTAAATGAAATGTAATTTATTTACTGTTTTGTAGTATCAATTCCTGAATTCCCTAAATGTTAGCCTGTTTAGTCATGCCTTGATTTAGCAACTTACTATTGGTAAATTTAAATCATGTATGGCATCATATTGCAGTGCCTCTCTTAGGATAGCAGTCAAGTAATGTGTTTAAGCCATAGCAATATAAATAGAGAAGGTCAGCCTTATCTCATGAGAAGTTATAATAATTCATACATGATGGCAAAAATGTCTTACTCGTGGTTAGAGTATGTTGGGAAAGTGCTTCATTTGGTTTTCTTTCCAAATGCAGTTTAACTGACCTGCATTTTTTAATTTTAATTTTTTGCATGTTTGAATGCTCCATTCATGCAATTATGTATTTTCACAGTTGCAGAACCAGGCGGGATTTGACCCATCAAAGCAGGCATCAGATGAGCAGTCACAGACCCCAGAGCATGATCTGGCCAAGCATCTGACAAATAAATACATGACCCAGGTGGCGGCCCACCTCACCCTGCAACAGCTTCAGGACTTCAGCTGTGACGTCCTCCGCAGTATCCTCAGTATTCGCAGAATGACCTCCAACATGTCCATGGCAGAGAACCCTAACACTGTGCAGCTCTGCATAAATACAGCAAGTCTATAAGCAGCCTAGAGCAGTAAGCCCAAAGTATACTTGAGTTTTGACACAGACGCATAGCCTTTAAAAGTATACTGTATGCGGATAGCATGCAAAGTATACTGAAACACATGCAAACTGGAACGTTCCATCTTTGTCCAGTGTCTGTGCTATTTTTCTAAAGAAGTTATGAAAAATGATCTGGTCAAGCATCTGACAAATAAATACATGACCCAGGTGGTGGCCCACCTCACCCTGCAGCAGCTTCAGGACTTCAGCTGTGACGTCCTCCGCAGTATCCTCAGTGTTCGCAGAATGACCTCCAACATGTCCATGGCAGAGAACCCTAACACTGTGCAGCTCTGCATAAATACAGCAAGTCTATAAGCAGCCTAGAGCAGTAAGCCCAAAGTATACTTGAGTTTTGACACAGACGCATAGCCTTTAAAAGTATACTGTATGCGGATAGCATGCAAAGTATACTGAAACACATGCAAACTGGAACGTTCCATCTTTGTCCAGTGTCTGTGCTATTTTTCTAAAGAAGTTATGAAAAATCGATTTCCCTATGGAGAAAATAAACCTGGCTGTTGTACTCTACAAAGTATGCATAGATTGAAAAAAAAAAAAAAAAGGCCTACGCACATACAGCATTGTACCCTAGCATACATGTTAAAAGCAAAGTATACTTTGGGCTTTACACGGAACAGATGCAACATGATACAGTGACAAGCAAAAAACAAACAAACAGTTGATATGTGTTTCAAGGTACACAGTCAAATTATTTGTTGCTGGAATTATGTTGCACCATCAGCCAGGACATGGAGGCACTGCAGGGTATTTGTTGTCTTCAGATTTTGTATTTTGTTTATTTATTATTTAGGTTATTTATTTTATATTTCACTTCACATTTGATTTATTATTTATTAATTTAACACTTTAGGAACTCCCTTAAATGGCTTTATTCTTTACAGTCTGCCTCAGAAAGCAATGTATTATTTAACTCACTGTGAAATGTATTATTTAACTTTACTGTGTCATACAATCTGAGCACATGAACATGTCTCATGAGTTGCTAAATGAGATCATGGTCATTGGATTGATCTCCTGATCTCTGTGAGAACTACCTACTGCTTTCATTACTAATTTCACGTGATATTATGTTCTTGTTTTTATTTTTATTACCCATAAATATTACTTAAATGAGATATCAGATGATTTTATTTATGATTCTGTATTATTTATTTATTTAACTGAAAAATACATGTATTTATTTTTGCCATTATTTGTTGTTATGTTTGGAATATTTGAAGATGTGCCTTACATTTTAACCAAATAAACATTTTTGAGGCTAATGAGTGTTAAATATCAATTGTTGCTCATATTTTCTCTCTGTATTACTTATTGTATCTGGAATTTAATTGTATCATAATTTAGCCAGTTGACAATTAATCAGGAAACAGACAAAGGCCCTTTGAAAAATATTGCACACCTGAGGTGGTAACACGGCCACCATGCAACAAGTTAGGTATGCATTATTTTTCTATAATTAATAAATGGAGTTGATTATTCTGCTTATACCACGGTTACCTCAGAAGCTTTTGTCCATTCAAAGCTCTTGTGTGTGAAAATACTTGGTCTATCGTGGAGACAATCATGGGCCAGTGCTGACAAAAAGTTCCTGTCGGCAATTTTTAATATGTGTCTGGGAGAGAGAGAGTAGGAGAAAGAGATAGAGAGTGCTTTCCATTATTTATAATAATAATAAGAAGAATAACAATAACAATAACAATACATTTTAATTGGAAAAGGTTTGTCCTTTCATCCTTTTTTGGTCATATTTGTTTGCTTGGTCAGTGTCTTTGTGGTTTTTGGTTGTTTTGTTGTGGTAAACTGCAATGCTCTAAGAAATTGCTGAAATAAATTGGTGAAATGATATGGCACTGTAATGTGGTCTATACACCTAGAACTACCTAATAGATGTGTGATTACTGGAAATAAATAATAGAATGCCACAGTGCATGCCCACTTTTTTAGCGGCTTGGCTCCAGAGGTGTTTTTAATATTTATTTTTCCCATAAGGATTTTAAAAACATACTCGGTTACTAACGTAACCTCGGTTCCCTGAGATACGGAACGAGTACTGCGTCTGTTTAAGATGCTTGGGGAAAACTGCTTTTTCTCCGATGACTGAAGCCTTTCAATAAAGCAGTGTAACTGCACGGCCATTGGTTCGTGCATTGAATAAAAAACGAACCAATGGCTCCGCAGCAGAGCTGCATGATCCTATGGCGGTAAAGCCCGCCAGAATGGGCGGGGTCCACTGGCTATATAAGCGGCACATCGCCATAGGATCCTCAGGTTACTTCGACTGAAGCGACGACTGAGTTGTGCAGCTACATAGCACGGCAAAGTACGCAGTACTCGTTCCGTATCTCAGGGAACCGAGGTTACGTTAGTAACCGAGTACGTTCCCTATCGATACTTCACTCGTACTGCGTCTGTTTAAGACGCTTGGGGAACCAGTACAATCCCGCCGTGCTATGCTAGAGGAATGACTAATACTTGAACTTGCCTTAAGCAGCCAAGGGGGCCCAGAAGGACCAAGTATTTTGCAGGGAAGCCCCGCAAAAGGCACTAGGGCTAAACTCAAAGAGGTCGGCCCACCCTTGTATCATCATCCCGAAAAAATTCAGTACAGCCTTGGAACTCACTGAGGGCCAAGAGCGTACATGAAGGATGCAAACGCCAAGCACTGGTTGTCATATGACAGAGTGCCCTGCTATGCAGAAAGGACCCGCGCCTGTAAGGCTGGGATGTCCAGACTATAGAATCTGGCAAATGTGGACAGCGAGGCCCAGCCGACCACCGCACAAATTTCTGCAATGGACACACCACTAGACCAAGCCCAGGAAGAGGCAATGCCTCTAGTTGAGTGGGCTCTTACTCCCATGGGGCATTGAAAGCCCAAAGAAGAGTATGCTAGAATAATAGTGTCGATTATCCATTTGGAAAGTCTCTGCTTCGTAACCGGACAACCCTTGGTGCGGCCACCGAAGCATACGAACAGCTGATCCGACCGCCTGAATGGGGCGGAACGTTCAACATATACTTTCAGTGCCCTGACGGGACAGAATAAGTTCAACTCTTGGTCTTGCTCCGAAGGAGGAAGCACCAATAAAGTTATTACCTGTGCTCTGAACGGAGTAGAAAGCACTTTAGGTACGTATGTAACCATGCCTTGGCTTCAGGACAATTTTGGAGTCGCCGGAG